ATGTGAAGCGAGGAATTTGGTAGTTTAGGAGGGAAAATTGAGGAGCACCAGAACTTCACCTAGGGAGGCAGGATGACATCCTCATCAGCTACTAGCCAAACTCTGTTTCTAGTGCATTTTGTGCTTGCCTCTCTAAAAAGAGGAGGAAAAAAATGGTGACCTTCTAACAGTCAGCTAAATATTTCCTAAAGCTGCCTAGTAAGGTGATGACCGTGTGACCTTTGAGATGCAGTTCCTTGTTCAGTCACTCACTATTTCTAACCTACAAAACAACAAAAAAAACCAATGTTGCTATCAGTTTGTAGTGGAGCACCTTTACATTGGAGATCATTTAGGTACTGTGCTGCCTTGGCATTCCCATATACTTTTAGTATGTTCTTTCTTTCTAGTTTGAGCTATGTCTCTTGGAAAAGGTCATGTCTGCAGTGTTTTTGGAAATTACGTTTATTTTTCCACAAGCATGCAACTTCAAAACGGCATAGCTACTTACATCAGACTGTCCCTGTTCAGGACAAAATAGTCTCAAAAATAGAAGCTAGGGGTATGGAGCAGTTGAAATATGAGTTCGTAGTTTTGTTGCTTGTGGTTTTAATTGAAATGCTAGTTTTTCATTAGCTACTGTTTACTTCAGCAAACCATGAAATTGTCCTTCTCATCCTGACAGAAGGTTCTCTGGCATTTTAAACGACTCTGCTGAATTAGTTCCCTTTTAAAAGGAGCATACGCTTCTTTGGGTATCTAGTACCTATAGCGTTGACTGGTTTTGATTCATTTATCACTGCAGTGCTCTCGTATTGCATGCTTTCTGTATTTCACAGAAGAGGAACTGAAGTATTCACTGGGCTGTATTTTTACTAGAGAAGAGCTTGTGTTGTCATGGGGTCAACTCCTAGAGAGGACTAGGTAGTTTCCAAATGTATTAGCAAGCTGACACAAACAGCGAGCTCCTTCCTAGTCATTTTTTCCTGGTCCTTGCCCTGAGAACGTCAGCAATGCGTTCCCTGGCATTTTAGTACACGAGCGAAACGTGATGAACAAAAAAATCGCAGCATCTCTCCGTGACGTAGATAAACTTTGGATAGTTTTCCTAGGGATGTCTGGGCAGAGGAGGGCGCTGAGTTTGTGGGTGCAAAGTATTGGGTTTGTATCGAGTATGGGCCAGCAGTGGAGGTTGCATGTGTCGTGTTTACATGTAAAAGGCACAGGCTGGCTCTTCTTGTGCTAGACTATCCTATATGTCATTTCAGGCCTTTTTAATACATGAAAAAGTGTATGTGTTTTCTCCATGAATATTTAAGTCTCTGAGACAGAGTACTATGTTTACAACTGCTTTTCTTCCAGAGTATCAGCAAGGCATCTAAGTATGCAGCCTATTTAGCTAGGCTTTATTCCGCTCCCCAGCCTCTGCTGCAGGCATTTCTAATGCATCTGCTTTTTAAACGGAGAAGGAACACGGCATCTGCCAGCAAAGGGAGGCAGAGCAAGATGGGCTTTTTCCAAAGCAGCATGAGGCTGATTGGGACTTACCCCAGGCAGATCTTTGAACTTGGTCTCATCGCTGTGCCCAGAAATTCTCCCTGCCTTGCATTTACCAGCAGTATTCAGACTGCTGCTTCTAGACTTGAAGTTACATGGTCCTTGAATGAAAAACTACCTTTGTGCTGGCCATTTCCTAAAGGCATTAATGTTGTAGCATTTGCCCAGAGAGCAGGCTAGCAACAACTTGGGAAAGACAAGGAACAGTTGTTACAGTGGGTGCAGTGCATTCTCTCACTGAATATATTGGTGTGTTTCCAGGGAAGAGAGATGCTCAGCTGTGCTGTTGTGTAACACTGATACAATACTATGATAGTGGGTTGTGGTGGGATTCGGGTGTGTTTTTGTTGTTGTTTTTTAGTGGGGGTTGGTTTGGTTTGGTTTAGTTTTGTTGTTTTTGAGGTCATCTTTTGGTCTTCACTACCAGTCTTGTCTCGTTTCTTTCTTTGGAAGTGAAGAGGTTGTGGGTTATTGAGTTCAATACAGAAAGTTGTACCTCACATACTCTTGTCTTGAAGTGGAAAAAATTTCTATATAATTGGCTAAAATTGTCTTCACAGTGGTTGTATGCTGGGCAGCTTCAAAATGTTGCATTAGTAGATGTAGACACTTAGTATATACTGGGTAGTGGTGACACATATCAGGGAAGGTAGCAGCTGTGCCTGAGCCCTGTAACTATGTATCAGTGAACTTCTTTTTGAAGCAGATAATTGCAAGGATTTTAAACAAAGAATGTAATCTTTAACCTTTGGCAATTTTTATATCTCCACCAAAATACATGCCACTGCACTTGAGCTATGTTCCAGTATCATCACTTTTCTATTAAGTACTAGGTCGTCTTGAGCTGCTCGATGTTACCTAATCCTAATTTAAACCCGAGCAATATTGCGCTCTGAAGCTGACTTGCATCTCCCTCTTTCAGTCTTTCCTTTATAGGAAATCAATGTTAATATGTAAAAATTGGAAATCTACAGTTATTTCGCTTTGTTAATTGAATTATGGAAAGCTTAAAAGGTAAGCGTAGTACATCACTGTTAAAGCCTACTGATGTTTTACAAAGATGTTGCACCCTTTTAATACAGAGATCTGAAAGTATATTACTTGCATGCAGTGATAGCTCTAATTGGAAACCTAATAGGGTACAAGGGATTTCTAAGACCGTTATAAATAATAATACGTTATTTTTTTTTAGTCAGTGGGATTTCTTTTATTGACAGTCCTTTGGGTTGAAGCTGGGAATAAAATGCAAAATGTTGAAATATTTCTCATTGCTTCAAAGGGCTGTATTCAGTGCTAATCGCACACTACATTTCTTGAATGTTGAAGTGCTCCCAGTTGGCAGTTCTTGTGATATAAATTCCAACAGTAAATTGGTACTAACAGATCTCGAGTACCTGTTCCATTCAGTAGCTCCATCTTTAGGGGAAGGAGGGGAGAAGGATGATCATTGGTGCAACTTGGAGTAATGATGGTGTCTCAGTAGGTTGCTAATACGTATATAGAGAGGTGATTCCTTGGAGTGGTGGCTAAGGGTGCCCAAGAGAGTCCTTTCCGGTAAGTTTTCGCAGTTAAGCTGGTGTCTTTCAAGAGCTGGAGCTTCCTATCGAGATACAGTGCTATTCCAGTCCATTGAACAAGTGGTAGCTGGAGAGTAATGAGTGTCTAAATATATGCACCTGTATAGGACATGAACAAGTCATTAAGGTGGAGGAGGATGCCAGGAATCTTCAGGGTGGAAAGGCTTTTACTTTAATTTAGTGCAGTTCTTGTGAGCGGTGGGAGGTTTTGTGTTTTGATGAGAGAAACCTTTCCCCAAAGGATGGTGCATCACTTTGCAGAGAACCTGTCTCCCTTTACTACCTTGCTACATGCTCTTTCTCCCCTAGAAGAATGCTTTTAGTCGTAGGTTCACTATTACTGACCTAGTTAGCATCAAAATATCATGAACTTTTATTTTCTGTGTTATCTGAAAATGAAATTTTAGAGAGATTTGATAACAAAACTAATTGTTTTTCTCTCCCCTGATTCCCCTGCTGTCAAGAACACCAGTATTACAAAGGGCAGGAAAAAATGGGTCTCTGATCCCAGTTGTTATGCTGAGAATTTATATTTTTGTAATTGTATTTCTGTTTGTAATACTATTACTAACACTAGCAAAACTAGCAATTACCTTGGTTCCCTTCACAGTAATCAAATGCATATTGTCATGTATATATTGAATTTATTGGATTGCCTTCCCTCTCAAGTGTTACCGCTCCATGCTTGTTATAATATGAGAAGAGCCTTTGTTTATCTCTCTGCCTCGCACGGCCTGGTTAAAAGAAAGGGGAGGGAAGAGGAAAGGCTGGCTTTCTTTGCATTAGGGATGTTAAAATCCAGCCCCTTGCAGAACAAGGAGAGAAGAGATTTCTGAAGTCACAGCACATCCATGATGGAAAAAGCTGCGTCAGCACCTCCCTTTGTGTAAAGGGAGTTTCCAGCTCTAGCATCTTGCTGATAAAATATTATTACAGCAGCACAGAAAGAAAAAGGTAGCAATGGAGTCCTAAACCGTTAATGGTATTATAGGTTGAGCTGCACTTAGAAATACTCAGAGACATATGGCACACTACAGGATGAAAGTGTCTGAGGATCTTAATAAAACTAATTTTCAACAAGCGGACATTTGTGTTCTGCAATATCTTTAGTGTGTATTGCTCTTAGAGAGGTGCTGGTAGGTTAGAGAGAATCTAGAATTAGACAAAGCTGATTTGGGAAAGCACAGTTTTAGTTTGACGGGATGAGTTTAATTCTCCTTACAAAAAGTAGTTCTGTAATGCAGACAGTATCAATGGGATCAGTCCATTTGGCTTTATTTTAGAAATCATTGTAGCAAACTGACATGAGTGAGGAAAATTTTGACATTTAAGAGTATTATCATACATTTGGATTCACTTAATTATACAAAGTGAGCAATGGTTTAGCAATAATGTAGTAATATACTTTTAATCTGATGTGCTCTTTTTTAGGATGAATAAAATCAATATCAGTCCCAAATTAATTTAATATGGTCTCTGAGGTGTTGCAGTTATAGTAAGGCTGAGCTAGAGCAGCCATTTCTAAAATACAGTAAGAATTTTTTCTTCTAAACTTTTGTGTTTGCTGTTGTGTTGAGATTGTCGTGTCGTAGTTTGTTTAGGAGAAGTTCTGGACGATGCTTCTTTTAGATGAGAGAAGCTGAAAAAAACAGCCATCTCTAGTTTCTCAGCAGACCTTTGCTAAGCAGCATGGAACACTGATTCCAGATGAGGCTTTTGAAAATTTTTGGAAGCGTTCATGAATGTCTACTTTGAATCACGCTCTTTACTCCAGGTGGTATATGAAGTGTAATATTGAAAACGTTCTGCTGTACTCGGATAATATATGAGGCCATATTTATTCAAATTGTGGTAATATTCCTAAACTATTTGGTTTTTATCTCTTAGTGCTGGCCCCAAAGGTGATAACATCTATGAATGGAGATCAACCATTCTAGGACCTCCAGGCTCAGTCTATGAGGGAGGTGTTTTCTTCCTTGACATCACATTTACACCAGAATATCCTTTCAAGCCTCCAAAGGTAAGAGACCTGTAGTTGGCATCTTACGTTATGCATGCTCAGCAGACCATTTAGTAGCAAGCAGTGTTAATGGGATTCAGCCCATTTGAAAGCCAGTCTGCTTTAAGAACAAGTTTAAGCTCTTTTCAGACACTACATTGATTTCTCTTAGCTAATGTGAATTGCTTTTCCAGTCCACTTGATCACTGTTTTAGAGCTTGTTCTCTTTTCCTTGTTTTGGTTTAAGAGAGCCTATACAATTAGTACAAGCATCAGGACAGGACCAAGAAACTGAAAAGTAAATAAATATGGGAAAGGGAGGTGAGGAGACAAGTATTTGTTTCTCTAATCACTCGCTTACTACAGACGTAGTATTTTTGTACGTTTTGACCACTAAAGCGGAATTTTTTGTTTTGTTTTTTGTTTTTTTAGGCACTTGTGGTGTTCATTTACTTGTGCAGTAGCAATCTTTTTCTGTAGGTGTATTATATGTTTGACACTCTTATTTTCCGTTGTTGTTGTGTTCTAATGCTACAAGGCAAAAACCAAGGCAAGTGAACATTATCTTGTGGTTCACGTACTTGGCCAGAGGAAGAGTGTTGCTTTACACGAAGAGGTGGTTGTACATACACTTCGTGTTTGCCTTGTATCTGAAAGCATTTATGTGCATGTTTAACTTTCTAATCAAAAGTAGTCGCACTGATGAGATAAACATCAATGACTGCAGCGTCTTCAAAGACCGTGGTCTAGTCTGGAATAGAAAAGACTTCCTGCCCCAGTTTAGGCCATTAGTCCATTTTAGTGGAGACATTGCTAATTGGTTGTAGCAGCTGAGTTAATACAAATTTCTCAAATGAAGGAAACCCAGTGTAAATACAGATTTTTTTGGTAGTGTCGAGATATTACATTCCAGCCCTAAGCTTAGGGCTCTTAATCACAAGCAGCATAGTCTACCTTGGGACATCTGTAGTGATTTCCTGCTTTTTGGATGGTTATGCTTCTGTGTCTCGGGTTAGAATTTAATTCAGTTCAGAGTATTTGTTCATTATTTTGTTTGTAAGTAGCTTGCATAAGAAGTATTAGATAATTTTTTGTGCAACAACATCTTATCATGTCATGAGCCCACTAAGTATTTAAAGAGGGATTTTTGGCCTTCTTGTGTGCTCTTCCACACTTTTGCCTTCCATGCTACAAGTTGGAAGCGCTTAGGGTCTCAGGCTTGTCCGGTCTGATACCTCAGCAGACCTTACTGTAACTACCAAAGTATTGAGATGGCCCTGTATGCTGAGCTCTCTGACACAGAACCAAAAATACAGTTTTGTCAGTCCAGCGCAGCCCTGCTTTAGGTTCTGGACCTCTAACTGGGATCTCTCTGTCATTATCTTTGGATCTCAATCTTCACCCAGACTAAAAGACACACGGGATTAAAAAAACAGGCATCACCTGTTAAGGCCTCAAGCTAGTTCAGTGGAGGTTCATTGTATTGTAGCAGAGTTGCATTTAAATGGAGTATTTCATCTAGCAGTGTCTAAGCTGGTTTACGAACCACATATATGTATTGCTTCAGTCCCATGGAGATGGGATGTAGGAGAAAGCATAGCAGTGATTTAACAGCATCTGCCTGTGCTACTCGTGTACTTTGGGTTCTGAATGAAGAACTTTTTCCTTGCTAAGAGCTAAAGACTGTTACAATGGCTCCTGTGCTAACATCTTTGCTGGTATTAATCAATGATAGTGTGGAAAATATAATTACCATATTAACGTGAAGCTTTTTACTCCTACTTTCTTCCCACTGATTTGTTGATTTTAGGTTGTCCAACTGCTTGGACTGACTGGTAAATATTATTTGTGGATCATTTGGAAGTTGTAAGAGTAATGTGTTTGCTATAGCTTCCCTTTATTTTAGGGCAAGAAGTGAAGAAGCAGCTAGTTCAAACAAATGCCAGTGTATCATATTGATCATAAATATTAGTAGGGTAGCAGAATGGTTGAAGGCAATTTCAAAAGCCTTGACCTCTGGAAAGATTAAGCTCACTAGAGTGAAAGGACTAGTTTCCCTTGAATCTTTCTTGGTTAAGCCTTCAAAGAGAGGTAGAGGAAAACCTGTACTGCCCCTTTAGTCCTCTGTAATTCTTAGGAGAACAGCGCTACAGTGGGCTTTCCTACGGCAAAGCGTCTATAGGAGAACACATTGCATAACTTGAAAATGAAATGTCATTAAAAGATTTGCCTCCTTAAAAGAAAAAAAGGAGGGGGGGGGGAAGAGAGAGAGAGAGAGAGATGGAACTGGTCATCCTGGCAGGCTGCCAAGCCCTTAGGGCGATGAGCGAGAGAAGGTGCTGAAGTATAGCCACTACTGACAAATGTGGTTGACAAGAAATGTGTGGTGACAATATACAGGGTCCAGGCTTTGAGGACTGGTGCTAACTCCAACTGAGAGTTTAATACAGTCTGTTAGAGGATGTGTTGAGGCAACCTTTTGGGGGAAGATGTTGCCATAGAAGAGTCAGAGGGCCTGTGCTGTGAGTGATGTTAACAGATTCCTGGAAGGATAGAAAGAGGGACAGCTGCCTTCTGCAATGTTTTCCTCATGTTGTTTCACTTGCACAGAAAGTTTCGTTGCTGTTCCGTTGATGTCTCAATTCTTCTGTCTGCAAATAGAAAGAGTAGTTTGTCAACCTGCACTACTGTACTTGAGCCTGGAGAAGTGAGAAGTCTTAAAATTTGACTTTGAAATACATCACACAAGACAAGGAACTTCAGTGGGAGAGATCTGAAACAGGGCCAGATACGCCCTCTCTTTGTCCTAAATATGTATAATGGAGCTCTTCTGCATTCATTGAGCACTTCATACAGCACTTTGAAGATGTTAGTGTTACTCTGTTCTCTGTTTTTATTTTTTCATTTTATGTGGTATTCTGTTTTTGTCTTTATGTTTCAGATAGTGATTTAGGCAGGCATATGCTGGGGGGAGGGGGCCTGTATTCAGGGGTATCCAATAAACAAGTATAATGAGAATTTTAGAGTTCAGTATTTTGTCCTCAGGATGACTGTTACTGTTCCGTATTATTACATTGAATGCTTTCCCAAGTGTTGCATTATAGTTTGGTTAGATCTCATTTACTGAGGTGAAAACAGTAGCTTAGGTTGACCTGGTGTGTGCTTTGATCATTCATATTAATAACCTCTAACCACTTCCTTCCCCCTACTCTGATTTTGCTGGCTGTGTAAATTAACCTACACTGTCACTTCAGGATAAAGTTGAGGTTGGCTTCTTTATATCTTTTCAAAAGCTGTGCTTGACTTTGTGTAGCTACTGCATTAATGTAATCTCAGGTGAGACATTCCCAAAGGATTGTTCAGGTATTCCAGGACTGATTTTTCTGATATTCCACACAGTATTCTCTTGACCCTGAATGTGTTGTACTACCTTCTAAGTATCTCAATTTCTCCTGGTTTTGGTCTGAATCTGCTAGTTTTATGTGATTTTTTTTTTTCCTATAATGTATAATGAGCATTTACTCTAAACACTGTTTGTCTGTTTGTAAGTGGGCCTGCAGTTCCTCCCCCTTTCCCAGTTTCATTTGGGTTCCCTGCGCTGCTGGCTTTTGTACCATCAGCAGAAATTGTAAATGGCAAACAGCTGGACTTGCATGTGTCTAACACCATCCCAGTTCTGTCTTGCTGCTGAAGTGAAAACAAATTTAGATCTTTCCCACAGTCCTTTCAGTAGGCAGAGCTCCTCTAACTGGAGAAAAACACTTTTGGTGCCATGGTTAAAACCCTTAAGGTTTCACCAGGCTGTTCTGCACATATATGGGAGCTGTATTTCTTTCTCTTTTTCCTCTCCTTCCCTAAATAATAACAAAAAAGTAAGTCTGATTCTCGGAGGCAAATATAATTTGTGCCTTGTTATCGGTTATTAGTCCACTGGACTGAGAGACTGTCTAAAGAGATTGCTTTCTCAGATATCAAGTATTTAACTGTTGTGCTCAAATTAGAACTCTTGACCTGTCTGTTAATTTGGTCCTTATTGTATCAACTTGGAAATACTCCACACTTCCCCTCCTGGAAGTGTTTAATCTATTAAAATTATTACCTCACCTACATTTAGAAGCCTTCTTGGAAGGAGACCAAAGCTGTAGGTCAAATAGAGAAATAGTGAGCAAGCAGTGGGCTGGATTGAGGGCTGATTGGGAAACAGAGGCAAAGCCATTGCCAGCAATTGTGAATGCCACAAACTTCTCATTTGTCTTAACAGTAAACAGTGTGGGTTAGGGCAGGTATCACGGAGTCGCGTCAGCCCTCTATTCAGGCTGATGTACGTGGGCTTCCCATGTGACCGTAGAGAGCCCTTGCTGCTCTTCCCGTTGAGGATTATATGATCTAGGAAAGAAACACCATCCTGGTTTGTACAACCTGCTGTACCTCTAAGGTTCCCTATGTAGATAGCAGCAGGGGTTCTTTTTTTTGGTGTTTGTTGTGTTTTTTCAAGTTGGGGGGGGGGGGGAAGCACATCTCTGGTCTCTCGCAGCTATTTTGCTGTTCCCACCCATAATGTGCAAAAAGGTAGGGATTTTTTTGCTTTTCTGTTTTAATCTAAAATCCAAGCAACTTGCAAGGAACAAAGCAGAAAGTCTCCCTAAGTGTGTACTGTGGGTGTCTCCTGTGTGACAAGTAGCTGCAGTTGTGAGACCAAAAATAGCTGGAGTGCTCTGTATGGCGGGAGCATTCTTGGAAACTTAAGAGATGCAATACGTGGAAAACAAGAGGCGATAGGTTTTGTAGCTATGTAACCCCACCCCACGTCTGCTCCCAAAGCCTGGAAGAGGGAGGGTCCCAACCAACATTTTTGCATCAGAAAGACGATAGAAAAAATATGAGGGTTGACTGACTGACAAGTTTTATGTGTGGGCTGGTCTGATCTCAGGGGAAAACACTAGTGTGTTCTTCTTGTCATACCACACGCTTACCAAATGTGTGTTTCGCAAATACCCCTGTGACCTATAAACAGACAATAAAATTTGTGGGTGTGGATGGCTGACAAATTCTGAGGATTTAGGGCATGAACCCTACAACCTTTATTCATGCTGATAATCCTAATTCATGCAAGTTCCACCAAATTTGTTGTCACTGTTCATCAAGTGAGTCAGAATAAGGCCTTTCTACAGGTCAGATCGTATTCTTCTGAAAACAGTGTTGTCATGCTTTTGTTTCCCTTTTGGATAACTTATCTGGCAAGGTGCCCAGTTCATTCACATCTTCCAAATTTGAAAATAATAAAATCCAACTGAGTTGTATGAATGCTGAGCACTTAAAAGTGACAAGAGCTGCAATTCCAGAGTACCCTTGTGTATCCAAAGGTTTTTATAAGAGATTGGGAGCCCAAGGAGAGAAAAATGTTGGTGGATGGTGTTAAAGCGTCAGACCTCTTTGCTGCTGTGAGCAAAAGACATAACATAATAAAAAAGCTGGATTTCACAGTGACTGTAAGCACCCAAACTTGGAAAGTTGGCCGTAGTTTTGCAGTGAGATTGTAAATGTGTTGTCATTTATGACTCTCTCCTTAGACATGCTGAGACAGCACTGATTCATTCCGAGGCCTTTGATAAATCATTTAAAGGAAACTGAAATTTAGAGCTCACTTTAAAAGTGAAAACTGTAATGTGACCTTTAGTAGTCTAAGCAGGGTGGCTGTTTATTAACACAGCTGAGGTGTATTGGGAGAGGCTGGAAACAGTATTGTCAGCTACACGCTTGTGAAATTTTTATTTATTTTTAGTTCAAATTAAGGCTCTTTTTATTTGCCTGTGGCTTCAAGGTTGTACTTGAGTCATATCTTTATATTTTACCCTGGAATTATCAGCTAGAAACTTCTTTTTAATAAAAGCTGAAAATCCCAGGTAATTATTTCTGTGCAGGCTCTGGGCCCCGCAGACTTCCTATAATGCATAGCTTACGGTAAAACTCCAAGATCTGACAACTCTGAAAAGGAAAGGCATTGAAAGCATTTATCAGCTCTTTGTTACTATAAATACAATTAACTTTAGCATATTAATCGCAACCAGAAACTTTTATCTGGTGGCCTTGGTGAAGTTCATGTGGCTGTTGCCTTGCCATTCCTAGTGAATGAGTAGGTACCAAACCTGGTCCAGACCAACCTGTGTACCAAACCAGCCTCAGTGATGTGGCCAAAATTTTAAAAGGGAATGAAGCGTTTTTGGTCGAATTGTTCCAAATCCTGATGGGAGGAGAAAAAGACACCCCCCCCCCCACTGATTTGACTCCTTGTTGCCAGTTCTGAGGGATTTTCCTTTAAGGGAGCAGAGGTGGCCCTTGGAGCAGGTAGCAGCAGGCCCCAAAACCTCCTTGGACAGGGGCTGGGAAGTGCTGAGGAAAGGCCATCTTGCCCCCAAGCGGAGATGCCATGGGCAGGCCCGAAATGGAGGCAGCTGGGTAGCAACAGAAAACCACCAGCGCGGCACGGGGGGGAGGGGGGGGTGAAGGGGGGCGCTAGCGAAGCGCAACCCTGGCCCCTTCCGAGTCAGTTGTTCTGTGCAAACAAAGATGTCGCCTTCCCGTGAGGTTTTTCAGCCGAACTGAACGGTCTTAAGCTAAACTGCTGGCCTTCGGGCCCGCGAGGGA